AAAGAATTTTTTCTTCAATTAATTATCAGCTCGGATTTGTGAAAAAAAAAAAAAAAAAATACTTGGATTTTTCGATATATTAAAAGAAGCGACATTTTGAACTATTTTGATTTTTTTATAGGGATAAGTTATTATCAAATTAAAAACGAAATGATTAGAAAAAATTTAATCAAGTCGAGCTTTTCTCACTCGTATCGATAGAAAAATGAGTTTTATATTTTTCTTGTCGATACGACGAGAATACATTCGATAAATATTTCTTTTCTATAATTTAAAAAATAATTATATAAATAATTATAAATAATTTTAAAAAAATATAAAAAAATATATAGAAATTAAAACGTATATTTACGTTTATTATTATTATTCTAGGCAAAATTTAAATAACGAATCAACAACAATCGGAAAATCAAAGTGAATCCGAGATGTGCGGATCGATAAACGCAACGACAAGCGAATATGCATCACGGCTTGTAAGTCTAAACGTGAGAAAAAAACAGTCTTAGTTTTTTTGATCGATCAACGTAAAATAATTACATTTTTTATTTAATAATTTTTTCTTGTTATTTAAAGTTTACTTAGAGTATACCCGAAACCGTGACCTCTTGGGCATCACTATGATTGTTACTGATGAAGTATATATTATACTATATATATATATACATATATAATATATATGTATATATATATACATATAATTAGTTCACAGCATTTGAATTTACTCTAAAATAATTACTTTACACTCTAACCACATTTATTTGCATCCATAAATTGTTATTCTTTCATCATCAGAGTTATTCCATTCAATGTTAAATAATTATAAATATTAAAAACATAATATATTAACTATTTTCACTCATGAAAAAGCATCGTTACCTGTATGACAAGTGACCATAAGAGCATAATAAACAATCGCTCATTAAATGCATTTTGTTGTTCTTCATTTCATGACCTGGCCACATGTTCCATCCATCTACTCCATCGATCCATCCATTTGTCCATTCAGTGTCGCTGTATGATCGTCATACGCATTCTTTTCTATTTTTTTTTTCTTTCTCTTTCTCTTTCATTCATCCAAGACGTGATTATCCGAATATCACGGAAACTTTTTATTATATTAAAATTACTTCTCTTTTTCTCTTTCTCTCTTTATCTCCGTTAATTTCTGATAATGGCATCCAATGAACTCCTGTGCAATTGTAATTTTGTCGAAATTAGGAAGGTTCCGATTCCAATATTGCGATCTATCAATATATATTCATATTCTATTCGGATTTGACCGAACAATTCTACTTGACTTACGATGAAGCCTTCCAAATTTTGATAGAAAGCTCATGAGAGATAAAACGTCCTTTATTAGGTGGTAGCATGCGTACCTGTAAATACAATGATGTACAATTTACGCGATCTCTAGGTAAGCTGTTCGATTAGTCTATAAGTTTTTTTATAATGTATCTACGTACACGAACGGAAACAGGAAAAACAGGAAAACAGAATGCGTTTGTATTGCGATGTTAAGTAACGTGTTAATCCCAGTTCTTTGGTTTATCTCGTGTTTTCTGAGACGAGTTAAACTGAAGGATCGTGCGAGTATAATTCTATAGATATTTTCAAAAAATATATATACATATATATATATCAAATGACAAAAGAGTGCAGAAATATTATTAAAATCAAATTAATATCACCGTCATATTATACTCGTTTTAACTATCTGTCGATTCTATCGTGAACTTTGCTGTTGCTGTTGTTCTTGTTTAACGTATCTTACGTTCGGAATAGCATATCATTCTGAGTATACAGTACCAGAAGAACTGAAATTATGGTTCTCGGTGCATTTCGTCAGCGTACAAAACAGAAAAAGATGCTGTTCTTACTAGTCAATATAGATAAGGGAATGTATTTTTTTACACGATTGATTTGTAATAAAGATATTAAAAACGAAAGAAAACTAATCCAGTTTAGATAGAGGAAATATGAGAACGCTTGTTATTTGAAAAAAAAAAAAGAGAGAACAAAGCGATATCGATGAAACTTTTGTAAAGCAGATCAACGATTTTCCTTTTTTTTCATTTCTAGTTTATTTAGCTAAATTTCTTTCAGTTTTAAATTATCATCTATTGATTGGAGCATCTTGCAATGGAACAAAATTTTTGAATATATAAAACTTTTTCACCAGGTAAGTTGTATATTCTATTTTCTTTTCTTTATTTTTTTTGTATTCGTCCATCTTTTATTTTTTTTTTTTTTTTCTTATCTTATGATATTCTATTATATCTTTCTTAATAAATCAATTATCAATTGATACAGTCAAAACATATTCTTTATTCGAATAATAAATGCACATTCACAAGTGTATTTATAGTCTGTTAACAGCGTTTCTTAGCTTCGCATCTACAAATTAATATACATACACTATGACACAGAATTTATTATTCTTTATAAGCAATGAACGTACATAATTCATTTTCACTTACAAAATATCTATATGCATATCATGCCGGTGATTCGTTTTTGTTTAAATTTTCATGAAGTATCGTTTGCATTCGTTATTATTATACACACATACTCGCATTTGCTTCTTCTATAAAGTTTCTCACGCATCCTTTTATAAATGTGTACGTAGCTCTATCTAACTAAATTCTACTTAGGACCATCGGTAAAATGAACTTCTAAACATTATTGCCTTTAGTTCATCCCACTATACAATGATTCTATGTTGCGTTTTTTTTTTATTAATTTGTTTGTAAAACAAATATTCATTATTATTACTATTATTATTAAGTACTTTCCTGCTTCTGACTCTCATATATTCACAAACAAGCTAATAATGAAAAAGTAGTATATGCTAAAAGTAGAATTTTTAATTTTATACATAAAAGAAAAAAAAATATTTTCTAGAGAAATGGAGAATTAATTGTTATCGCATCAAAGATGAAATTATCATTAGATGCAACAATATTTGTACAATAATAATTCCTCGAATTTTTCTTATATATTATCCTATTAAAGATAGATTTTTTCGCTTGAAACATTCTCCATAAAAATTATCCATTTCTCTTTCTTGCTTTAATATGTAATTATTATAAGAATAACAAATATCACGAAGATTACAAAGAAAAATTTAGATTCTCTTCATTATGATCACGACACTTCATTAATATTCATCACGATCTTATATCATATATTGATCAAGTGTTTCATGATATAATTTTATAACGAAAAAATCGAATTGAAGAATAAAGAATAAAGAAATTTTTTGTGCGATTACGCTTGAAGAATAACGCTTGTTTGCATTCTTTCCTTATGCATTTTCTATAAGCTCTATAAAACCTCTATAAAACTTGCAATACTTATTGAAACGATCAGCCATCTCGAAAATCTAACAATTCGATTTTTTGTATGGAATACTCGAATTTATATTATATATAAAAATTATATATATTATTATCTAATCATATCACTTATATAATGTATACAATTCAATTTTAAATATGTTCAGTTCTTATTTTCGCTTTATATTAGAATATAGAATATAAACGATTTCTGCATACAATTACAATTAAATGATTGCATGAAGAAGCATGCAAACAAACATCTCCTTCATTTTTATATAGTACGGTATTCAATATTTTAAATCAAGAATAGTTTTTACTTTCGTAGAAAGTAATAATAAAAAGGAACCCGGCAATAAGGAACAATGCCGACATTATTGACAAGTTTACTACATATACTGTTTTGTCTTGACATTTTTGTTATATAATAAAAGTATTCTCCATGTATAAAACTACAAAATATATAGAAGTTATACATATAGATGATACAATAAAAAATGTATCTCTATATAAAGATTATTCTTTGCAAAAAATATATTGTAAAATTTTAGTTGTGCTTAATATTAAAACATAAAAATATTTTAAATAATTTTATTAATTATCACTTTTTATTATTTAAATAAAAATCGCATCAAATTCTTCAAATATATAATTTTCTTCATGGAATGTTTAAAAAATAATTATAACTTTGTATACGTTATGAGCGTGTATTATAAAATAAAATCGAGTACTATCATTCTATTTTTCAACACTAAAAAATATGTAAAATTCAAGTTTAATTTCATTAAAATTTTTAAATATTTACTTATGATATACTTTACAAAAAAAAAAAAAAAACGAAACATAGTCAAAAAGATATTTAAAGATAAAGCTTTAGAAAAAGAAATTTGATTTGTACTTTTTATTTCTCGATATTATTACGGAGTTTGAGCAGATTGCATTCCCTTATTACACGTTTCCTCTTCTATTTATTCAATGTGTGAGTATGTGTGTTTGCGATGTTAAATCTGCTACTTTATACTCGGTAAAGAATTTCAAGTTATATTTAATATTATTTAATAGCAACACTTTTCCTTAATCTAAGCAAGCTAAAAATAATTGAAAAATTATATCATTAAAAGTGTATAAAAAGTAAACTTTTGATTTCAGACAACAGAACCTATTTATAATAGGTCAGTACGTTTTACAAAATAATATTGTAAGTATCGTACGAAGAAGAATTTTGTTAATTTTGATTTTATATATATAAAAATTAATGAAAAAATATAACAAAATTAAAAAGGCCAACATTTTTATCCTCTGAATAAGTACAGAAATGGAACAGTGTTTTTTATCTGAAATAGATAGCATATCATGCAATTTGATTTTGATAAATAACTAAAAATTATTATAGAATTCAATATTCTATTTTACACTGTTTTACCATTTCAATACTTAAACGTAGTTCATAAGTGATAAAAGGTGTAATACAAAATATGTGTATAATGTAAAAAAGAAAAAAAAAAAAAAGATAAATATTTATATAAAATATATGACAAATGTTTCTACAAAATTGAATAATAATTTCAATACATTAATATACAATGTATAATTATAAAAAATTAATATACATATTATCATCTTGTTTTGTTATAATTATATATTAGTAACTTTTTTGAAAGTAAAGTTGCATCACCTTTTGCCACTATAGAACTACACCATATTAGACCACTTCTCTTCCTGCTTCCAATAAATTAAAAGAGGAAGAGAGTGGTCTGCCTTGCTTGCTACTTGGTTGCCTCTGGAGGACAATCAGGCTGATTATTTGGATGAGCAGCAGTAAAAGCTGGATGATTTTCTAAATGACGGTCTACCCTTAAAATTGTTGGAAAAGGTCGTAAATCAACAAGAAACCTTCTTGCATTAAATATCTGCGGTATTAAGCAACAATCTGCTAATGTGATTTCATCACCTACACAGTATTTTCCTGCACTTGATGACAATAATTTTTCTACAGCTGAAAAATAACAATATTTATATATATAGTTATATTTACATTAATATATTTTTATTTCCATAATTTAATACCTGTTAAACCTCTAGTAATCCAATGTTGTGCCCATTCCTTCTTACGTTCTTCTCCAACATAAATCAACACAACTAAATTTTGTAATGGTTGAATACCACTAGCAATAACTTCACAAATTTCTCTGACGCGTGCTCTTTTCACTGGATCTGCAGGCATTAAAGGTCGATGTGGTCTGGTTTCTTCTAAGTATTGTAAGATATTTAACTGCAATGAGAAAACTTTCATCTTTAATATAATCCTTAATATCACTAAATAACATAAAGAAATTTATATGAATATTTATATACTTACAGATTCTATTAATGTGTGATTGTCAATATGAAGTGCAGGTACCTGCTCCATTGGATTAATTTCACGAAATTCATTAGAATGTTGTTCTCCACCACCTTTTATCAAGCTAACTGGTTTTATATCATATGGAATTTCTTTTAAATTTAATGCTGTTAAAAAAATATATATAATTTTATATAAACATTAAATATACATGTTAAAAATAAAGAAATCAAAAAACTATAATTTTATTTCTATTAAGAAACTTATTTTATTTTTAAAAATAAAATATGAAATTTTAATAAATTCTGATCCTTTTATTTATTATTTCCAAAATTTAACAAATATTTTTCACTCACCAATTCGCACTCTCCACGAACAAGAACTCCGCCAATAGGAATAGAGTATTGGCTAAAAATTCAGAAAAAGAAACGAGATAAATACTGCAACATATTTTGCGATGTTTACTGGCTTCAAATGGCACGTTGACGGAAAGTATACATACATTAGTTTATCTAAGACCGGTGAAATATAATCAGATTTAAGAAAAGAATAAAATAATAAGGATAAGAAACTATAAAAGAAATTAATGATTAATAAAAAATACATTTAAAAAAAAACAATATTTTTTAATCGAACGTTTAAAGAAATGATCTCGTTGCAAATAAAGAATTGATAATATGAGTAAGACTGTAATAATGTCGGATTCAATGCATTAAAATATTAATTTGCTTACCTTTCCCATAACGGACATCTCGTCAGGCTTTGATGGACGGATTCGCCTGCTTAATAATTTTTGTCCAATTATTCGAAACGACGCTGTGACTCGCGAATCTCTTCGAAATTATTCGGTATCCGTTCAACGCGCGAAATCACTCCTCCCTCCCCTTTTATTCGATTGCCAGACATCCCATTCCACTGTCTCATTCCAGTCTGGGGTTCACACAACCAATCACAATCCACTTTCCGATAGGAAACAGTGCTGTATAACAGGAAAAACCTTGAAGATTGATGTATGCATAAAATTTTACAACTTCGTATATTTCATAATTTTATACAATTATTACTATAAAAATATTATTTTATCTTAATGTACAAGAATTTAATTTATAATTTTTTAATTCAATTTAGCACGACAAAATATTTATATTCATATATCTCTTTATATAAGTAAAATAAATAATCTAATTATATCTAATTATTCAAAATTACAATCTTGTTTTCATCGAAGAATAATCTATCATATGTATATTAATAAGAATATAAAATGTGAAACCTGTACATATGTGCATATATACATTAATATCAAATTATAATTCCGGTATATGAAGGTTAATGTAAAAACACACGAATTAATTTTTAATTATATTTTATACTTATTTTAAAATATATATAATTATATATGTTTATATTATATATATTTTTTTATGTAAAAAATAATAAATTTTTCTTAATATTATATTGTGAGATAATTGCGAAAACTTAAAATAATAATAAATATGTATAAAAATTTTATAATATTGAAATTTTTGAATTTAAATTTTAAAAAAATAAATAATATTAAATATTTTTTCATTAAAATCTAAATAGAATTTTTAAAAAATTAAAATATGTATATGTATATATTAATTTGCAGTTCTAATTATGATAAGTATATTCTATTTTATTTTCATATTGTTATTTTTACTCATTTACAAAATACTTTTTCAGCAATAAAACATTTCTACATTCATTTTATTTTTAATTTTAATGATGGAATTTAAAATAATTTAATTAATATTAAATTTTATGTTCATTTTTTAATATCATATAATATA